AGGTGTCTTGGTGGTGATTTACTACTAACTGGACCTTCCAGATGCCCTTTTCATACGACAGTCACTGAGACACACTCACTTTTATAAATAATCGACATCACTGCATACAATCTGTTGTCACTTTAACATTAAAGAGTCTTTATGTAAAGCAGAAAAAGGGGAAACTTCCAATGAACAGTTTTTATAGGCACTTTAAAAGGTCAGAACATGGAAGTGTTTCTAATGAACTCTCAACCAGACAGTAAGTCGTTTGCATTGATAAGACAGCGTGTTAACAAACAGGCATGTAGTTTGGTTCAGATTCCTCTCATAGCTCACATTCATACTCTCACTTTCTTCATCTTCCAGTGAATCAGTCACACACCGACAGTGTCAGCGGCGAATTTGTCCTACATGCCTTTCATTGTGTTCAACATCCTCGGTGTTTGATTTGACATCCATCTTTAACTCTCAGCTGGTTTCTGCTCCGTTTAATTATGCTCTGCTTGCTCTACGGGCACAACGTGTCATGTTTTGCAAAAAATTCCCTGACAGATTTCTGTTCGTGAAAATTCAGAGAGTTTCTTTCCACCTCAAGGCCAAATCAAACCTTTAACTTGTCAGAAGAAAGTTTCAGGCTGCAGATCAAACAGAGGTCAGAGAACCAGAACAATCTGAGAGCTGGACGTGTAGGACGTCCTCCTCGCTCGGCTCAGTTTTTCCTCTTCCATCTGCCATGTTTCTCGCTCCGAGTTTCCAGCCGATGACCTTCAGTGGGCTGCTCTCACAGAAAGCCCGAGCCACTGTGTGTTTACAACGCCAGCCATATTTTGTGTTCAACGGTCACCAGTATCAGCGACGTCATGCCGCAGGAATGTCATGGTTTTCCTGATAGAGGAGGAGAAAGGTCGCCGTCCTCCAGCTGACACAAACTCATACAAACACACGAAGCTTTTTACAGACTCAGATATGAAACGTTGCTGCTTCATCAGTCTGTTGAAACGTTCTGTCATTCAGACAAAGGTCGCTTT